TGCCAAATTTAACGATACCGAGAAAGAGAAGCGGTATTATCGCTGGCATAATATAGTATAGTCAAAAATTAAAAGTTTTATTAATAAAAATGCATCCATTAACTTTAATGTACATAGTGGTTAGAACTTAAACTGATCTTCGCGAAATATCTAATTGTAAGACAAAATGGTTTCGAAGTGAAGACAGAAAGAGATCAAGCAATGTCGACGGATAAGAGAGGAAAAGAGAGAAGGAAAGAGAAGAGACGAGGAGATTCTCTTTGATCCGCTTAGGCAGGCTACGCCATCAAAGTAATCCGACAATAGATTACTTTCAATACATACATGTGCTTGCTTGTCCAGCAATCGACTCAGGTTAAAATCCTATCATGTGGTTATATCCCGTTTGTACTCGCTCGTGTCTACACGTATCCAGAATCAACTGGCCTATCTACCGTCGATTTATACGCTCGGCATCGCGATAGCCCGCTCAAAGTGAATCGTCGGCCATTTCGATTCTCGGTAACGCACGAAAATAGCGAGCAGTAGGTAAGAAGATTTTCCATGTCCACGATCTACGATCGAGCCTACCTCTACGAAATTCTTGTGATTTGTATTGGATCACCTACGGGTTTACGTAGGTACGTGCCAAACGATAACTCGTTTTACTTTGAAGCTAAACACGTAACAAATACCTCTGCAAAATTCATGATTTTCTTTTTATTTAATTGCTTAAAATGAATTCATTCAACAGAAATTAAGTTATTTATTTATTTATGTTTCATAGGTTTTAATTTAGTAATTGTACATTTTTGTGTTCATTTTCTCGACAGCTTTTACGTCCTGCATAAATACGCGTTCAGTATTGTGAATCAACAATCGTTTAAAATAATTCTTCTTGAAAGGGAATGAAAGTAAAATAAAAATGAAAATGTGCGAACATACATCTAGAAAGTACTTTCGTTCTCCGAGAACAGCCGTATTTTTTCTGAAATATTACACAGTACGTGAAAGGTGACTGTTAATACCCATAAATTTCTCATAATACAAATCATATCCCGTTTTCATTTATTTCCTATGCACGCATAATATATGCACTTGAATATAAATATAGGATTTCATATACTAAGAGAATAATTTTTAAAGGAACAGTGTAAAATTTAGCAAAAAAAAATAATGTGAAATACAAGATTCAATTAAAACTGTGGACTTTCTCCATGGTCCGCCGTCCGAGAGTTAATCATGAGTATGCAACCATAATTCTAGAGGTAGTGGGCAATTGCGAATTCGATTACATATTACATTTCAACATTAATCACAATCATTCAATGATTCCTGTGGTTATTGTAACGTGCCGGGGATTAATTATAGTATCGTGGTGAAAGACAGAAAAGTCGAAAGGTGACAACAAGAAGTTTCACATGTTCTCGCGGCTGCAACTGGCAACCCGTCAATTAGCACCGCCTTTAAGGTTCGTTCGGTCCCCTCGTTTTTTCACCGTTACCACCAAGAATTACACTTGCGTACAGCTGTCAGCTCGTAAGTCTCGTTTCCGTTAAAACTAGTTGCCTGTTAGCCGCTCGATTAACGATCAATTAGATATGTCTGACAGCCGTCAAAGAGATTCTGATAACAAGACCTACAAAATATATTTTATGAATTTCCCTGGGATAGATAATCAAAGCCTTTACGATAAATAATGACTAATTTCGGATCTCGTTGCCAATTTAACATTCCTATACAACGTGTGTCTATATAAAATTCAAAGGAAATTGTTATTAAAAAAAATATTAATTATTCTTAATTATTTTTACTCTGGCAACCACTCTATTAACGTACCTTCCAATTAAAAAAATAATTAAACTACTATATTTATTGCTTTTACTATCAACATTATAGGCAAGCTGGAGCAGTTCTGTAAAGTGTAAAGACGATAAACAGATCGGTTATTTACCATTGAAATATGTATTACCAAGTCACATCTTGACACCTTTCTTAGAGAAAATGTAGTATTTGCATTTCTCTCAATTTTAATTGCTTCTATCAATGTTTCTTCCTCGTAAATCCCCGAAGCGTCTCTATTTCTGTGATTTATATAACACGCCGCCTTAATACACGTACACGAAACCTACATACGCGTATCTTACCGTCATCGTACAGCCATCAAGAGCTGTCCAGCATATTTTACGGTTCAGTGTGTGCGTGGACTTTTCTAATATCCGAGAAACACACGTAACATAGTAGGTAAGGTATAGCTGTCAGGTTGTAAGTCTCGTTTCCACTAAGGTTACTTGCCTGTTGCTCGTTCGATTAACGGTCGATTAAGCCTGTCGGGCAGCCGTTAAGTAGATACGAGAAAGAGCGAAAGATATGAAATGCGAGATACTTTATAATTTCAGATAACGTTATGAATGGTAACGAGCTCTGCCCGCCTTTCATGGTAGATACATATGGTGTAGCCAACCTGCGGGACAGCTCGTGCATTCCTCTCGTCCATTGCCATAATCGAATGGAAACTAATGAAGCCGAGTGTTATGCAGCCATAAATTATTCTTTCTCTCTTGCCTTTCCTTTTTTTGTTTTTCATTTTCGCCACAAATCGTACGTTTATCGGGATAATCGCGTATCGAGATCGATGTGCTACGAAATTGAAGCTGCCTTAACATTTTATTATTATAATTTTATGAATTTCGATAGACCTTACGTTGCCAGGAAATTTTATGGAACGCATAAATTTCACGATATATGACGGTGTACGCGTTGATACGATCTTGTTACGTCGTTCCTATTTCTAGTTGCTACATTCTCACGCTTACGTAAATATTCAACGTGAAATTAATTAACGGGAAGAAAATTTATGATCAACGATGGAATCGTTTTGTTTTATGAGCCATCCTTCCAATTTATTCGTCTCCATTATATAAAAATTAAGATTTCTCGTCAGACGTACCAAGGTTTTACAGCTGATCCAGCTGATTGAAGAAATCGTTTATTTTCATTTAAGAAAGAAGAATAAGTGTGATTATTTGATTTATGAGAAATTTTAGCTTAAGTGGACGAATGGACGTTTAATAGATTTTATTTTATCGTTAATGGTAAATAATTGAAAAGGGAGCTATTATAAAAATTTTTAAACGAATGCAAACATTTTTTATTGCAACATTAATACTTCAAATGGAGTAATCTTTCACGTTATAAAGAATTTTCCGTGTCGTTTGTTAATAATTCCCAATCGGGCGTGACCATGTTCATAAATTCTGATTTAAATCAGCGTTAAACTAAAATTGTAAAAGCAAATAATGTACGATACGTTGAATCGAAACATTTTCGATGCTGCAGCATCCATAATGTGCAAATAATAAACGTACAACATTTAAAACTTCTGTTAATTACAATTTCAATGAAAGACTACATAAAATCAATAAGCGAACGTTCGCCAATGCAAATTATTATTGCTTAATAGCCGGTGGACCAGCCATAAATTCAATTTCTGCAGATAACTGCAGTTGGATATCTGCGCTAGGAATATTTTATTTTGGTATCCTGATATCGGGTACTCGAACAACTCTCAGTTATCACACGCATCGAAATTACCGCTATTTTAATAACTGTAAACATTCATTGTGTTCTGCGGCTCTAAATGAAAAGTGGTACACCGTTATATTATTTGTTCCACTCGAAGGAAAATTACCAGACAAACATCAAACATAATTAGGAAATTGATTTCAGTCAAAAGTTTTAGTAGAGTCTTATTACATTTGGGACAAAGTATGGATGACGTTTGAATAATTATTTATTTCCTTGTAATAACAGTATTTCCATTGCAGGTGGTTTCGTAATCCTCTTAAATCTTAATAAGTCTATAAACCATATTCAGAGACAATTTCGTGAAAATTGTAGAATAATTCAAGCGAAAGCATTAGCATGGTTAGAAAGTACCCCGGCTATTGTACTCCGTTTAAGCTGCTCTTTCATATGCATAGCATGTTTCACGTAGGTGTATATCGCGTAATCAAGAAATTAATTCCAGCACTGTTACACTCCCTTTCTGTACAACCATTTTGCAAATGTTCTGTCTGATATTCTCGTATACAGTGTTGTACCTATTCATAGTAAGCAATTAAAAAACTTTATATAAACGAAATACGTATATCTATTCTTCAAGGATATTTAAGAATATATGCATTAAATTTTACTAGAATTCCTGCTGATGCCATCAACTGTTGACGTTCAAGTTTGCACGGCTTATTCTGAAGATAAGCCTCGGACAGCGATGACATAAACTGTAATGCGAGTGGAGGAAGCAGTCTTTTTACTTCTCATTTTCTTTCTTTTTCGTTCACATTCTCTGTTAACACGTTCGATCTCAGAGTAACAGGTGCAGCTCAGCCGCGATAAGACCACATCATAAATTAAACCGCTAAGAAGCGGTGCCCATTTGTGTCACAACGTTCAGGACCACATACTGTGTTCTGTTTTAAGGTTCCATTTCAATATATTGCATAAAGCACATTGATATTCTACAAAATCTTCCATTGTGGAACCATAGTCCTCTATTTCATGTCCTTAGCTTTCCCCATGTCAGGGATGTCCAAGGGAGCTTTGAGCTTTTCCATGTAGAGCTATTGATTCGAACCCGGCTGTATGAGATACCCGAGTAGCTGTGAGATACACATGAAAAAATGCAGATCTCGATTCTCAAGTCGGCTGTCTTGTCGATAAGTGTCGGTAATGAAGAAAATGACTGTCTCGTGCGTTGAGGTATCTCACAGCTGCCTAGGGAGGTGGGTAATTTCGTTTACTCGAGTATCTCACGGGTACCCCTATAAAATAGAATCGTTTCTCCTCTGTAGGGCATCCTAGAGCTCCATTGGACAGCACTGTCCTATGTCTCTATACCTAGGGGTGAGGAAGACCTTCTAGCCCCTACGTACTAGCAAGATCCACTAGCCTCGGACATTTGCCCAATGGAAAGTCAGGCTTAAAGTACTATTTCTAAACCTAAAACAAAGGGTACGTACCGTGGCTAGCCTGCTGATGATGGGGTAATCGACTGAGAGAGAGAGGGGTCCGTGCGCCTCATGTAGCTCCTGGCAGAGAAGTTCATCAGCCCTGTCCTAAGGCATCAGCTGGTGGGGGGTTCGTATGGTGTCCTGGAACATCACCCGTACTGAACGTGTTAAGTTAAAATATCAGTCTTGTTTTGTTCTAGCTATAGCTTGTACCCGCGCCTGTTGCAATAAACAATCTTCGACGTCGTATACACAGTTGAAAGGGGATTAAACGTTCCGAGGAAGCGCAAGAGGAATGAAATAGCGAGGCGCGAAACGAAAATCGCGGCAAGAGACATAAATCTCTAAGCACGGCAAAGCGGGTAAGTGAACTGATTGCTCGAGGTGGCGCGTCATTACGACACACCGGTGTCTCCATACATCTATCCCCGTCCTCTAAATCGTCGTGTCCCGTTCTTTGTTTAACTCCTTTCTCGCCTCTCGTCGGCGAGCGGAACGAACGTATTAGGTTATGGACCTCGCTTTTCCAGGCGCGCAAGTTATAAATGGCCGTTGCACGCCAAGCTGAAACGTATACACATAGTGCACGGTGGATTCTCCCGCACACGAAAGAGAGATGGTGGGTGAAGGAGAGAAGGAAAGGGAGATGAGGTTAGGCAGAGAGTTAGAGGCGGAAGCGAGATCGCGACATAGCAGCGAGAATTGGAAGCGGGGCTAGTTGACATAGTCGATGGAGGCGCGCGGGCTAGTGGACTCGGATTTATGAGACCGTCATATTTCGCAAGTTGCGAGCCGGTAATTCCTGGCCGTGCGGCGATTTATGGCCGCGGTGTGTCCCGCTTGCGCCATTAATCCTTCCCTTTCGCCCTGAATCGAACTTCCACCTATCCTATAGTCTTCTCCTCTTTCACTCTCTACTCTTCTCTTCTCTTCTCCCATCTTGCCCGCTTTTGTTTCTTTCTATCCAGCTGCGTTACCTGCGTTTTTCAACCACGCTAAGTTTGCTAAAAGTCAAACAGTAATTTATAATAATACTTCCACGTTAGATCGCAAGACAATTGCTTTAATTTGTAGAAATTTTAATTACTTTATACTTTGCTTCAGTTTAGCAGTGACTACAGATGTAAAAGGCTGGACATGCCTTTGTTTTCGAGGGATCATGACTTAGGGGGTCCCTATGTAAATTTATATCGCAAAATTCTTATTATTTCATAAGAAAACATTGCTCTCACGTATTTTAATTTTAATGGTTTGATATTTGAAAAGATTCATCGTCAAAATAAATCGAGTCTTTACAACGATCAATCGATCAATCACGATCGATCTAATCGCCGTTATTGACGTTCAGATAACGCGAGAATAATGAATTACCATCGATGTTATCATTCTTCATCCTTTATCGCTTGAAATTGTCACCGAAAATAACATCTCGTTATATTGGGCTTATCTATTCATCGTGACAGCGTGACACGAATAACAGAAACTTACCTCTTATTTTTTAATGGAAGATAATGGTTCGATGTTATTTCAGGGACTTTTAAAAAAGGAAAATTTCAATAATGCACTAATTATCGTATTTCAATACTAGCTATTTAATTAAGAATACTACTGGAATTAAAAGTCAAAAAAGTCTTTTAATATTTTAACAAAAATATTTTTAAATTCGTTCTATTTCTCTATAATAAGCTTATCATTTCTATAAGATTAAAAAATACTGAAAGATCTAATCAAACGCTGTATCATGCTAAATTAATAAATTATTGAGTAAAGACTATTATATCCCATGACTTGCGGAACTTCGAAGCTTCAACGCTTAAGCATTCTTACACAAAATACTAATACTTCTCCGTCGAGAAACTCTTTTTAATCTCGATGCACAAAGAATAATTTTCTCAGATAATTGCTGGAATAATTAAAAAGTTAATACTACCTGATTAAAACGTTTAAATGGCGCATATAGTTAACAAACAGTTATCTATGAAATAACTCGTTCTAATGGTTCGTCTCCACAGAAACGATGAACAGTCGTTGAGAGGTTAATGTTACTAGTTACCCTTCAACGACGAACATTCCATTAGTATTGACGCCTAATAAACGCACATATGTAAGTATAGACGAATTAGCAGTTACAGCCATTATTAAGTGTCTGTCAAACCGATAATCGGTTTCCACTGCAATGTCTAGCATGCAATTCTCTTTAATATGTATGTATTTACTCAACAAGTTAACGAGAGGATATACTCTCTTTGAATTATAAGACTTACCTAACTGTAAATCAAATTAAAACCAACTTTATTAAGAATATATCAGTTTCAAGCTGATGTATAAGATTTTCAAAATTATTGAAATTCTTTTTCCCTTTGGTATTATGCAATGCTTATATAAAGAAACAATTTCTTGTATCTCTAATTAATTGGGAAATAAAGAACTGTTCAGGCTTATCGTGGACACCCTGTATATTCTTAGTGTTCGCTATTCTATCATTAGGTAGACAGAAACCAGTCTGAAAGGAATGGCTAAGGTTGTTAGAAAAACGAGAAGAAAAGCGGTGGCTCGGCGAAATAATTAATCTAAACGATCGGCACGTTGTTGGCGCTTTCCGTAGGAACGAAACGGGCGAAGAGGAGCCAGTTGCACGTCAAGTATGCGCGGAATGAAAACTGTCAGTAGCCTGACACGGCGGACTGGTTGGGGGCGACAGCTCGCTAAATGCACAACCACCCCGGCCTGACTCTAGTCAACGTCTGCATACCATCTACCTGCCACTGCCTCTGCCTCTACACAGCCCGATATTGTTGTCCACGGCGTCAAAATTCCCCTTTCTCTCTGACTGAAACGTAAAAAAATACCCACACTACAAAACTATGCGTGTACATAAATAAATGAACAAAAAACGGATTTTTGCAGATGCCTGGTATTGACGTATAGCAAAGTAACGCTTGATTAACTTCGCCGAAAATGAAACGATTTTAACTGCTTATCGTCAGACCACAAAAAAAGAAAATTTTCTGACATCGGTTGCAAAACACCTCGAAAGCACTGATTTGTTATTTAGCGAAGTTAATTTTTAAATATATATTTTAACGTTAAAAAATTTGGAATATTTATTTTATCAGCAAATATTTTAAAATTTGATAAAATTTGAAATAAAAATTTAAAGCAAGAAAATCCAGAATTATATTTTCACATTATAGAATTTATTAAAGTGATAGTTTTCTATTTTAGCAATAAATATTCTTCCAATTTTTTTTAATAAAATATTCAGTGCACATTTTACAAATAAAAACGGCGTTTTTTAAATGTCAATACGATATATTTATCGCAATATTCATTCACGTCTTGTACAACTTTTCACGTGAACACGTTGACGTGGTTGATATTAGTGTAACGTCAAACTTATAATTGGCGTGTCCCGATCGATATTTTAATTTATCTAAGGGGAATGCTCCAGTGATGCTGTCAGTATACTTAACGAGTAAGGACAGCTTGCCGAACCGGTGAGTAGAAAATTGAAAACGTGACGCCAGTTATTCAGATGTCACATACCCACATCGTCCAAACTGTCAGGAAGTAATAAGTAAAAACAGACGTTCCTCCTTCGAGTTACCAATTATTTTAATTACTTAATTTTATAATTAAATAATTGCAGAGAAATTAAAAAGTAGCTAACGTGTTTTTGGTTTTGATACATTTTTCTGAATAACAGAAAAAATAGAGTTTGTTAAAATTATTTAAATATTTTCTACGATATCAAATGTGATAAATAGTGCAGTTCGATGAATTTTCAATTCCATCCGTAATTATTGCGAGATGAATTGATCTACCCATTGAATTAATCTCATATTATACCCCGCTATCCGCTCATTCCGAGCTCCATTAACTAAATCTCCCTAAATAATGTAATAGCACTTAAATGATCCGCTAGACAGCCATAATTGTACAAGTGTTACTTTAGAATCAATCATTGCATATATTTAAACACAAGTTATCTAAAAAATAATGTTCACTATGACAAAAAAGATGAACTAAACAAAGTCTCCTAAGAGAAGTCGTGAAAGCGTTCAAGCGTAGAAGTATAGTTACTGCAAAGATATAGCACAATCGTAAATTTCGCCAATCGGTAAAAAATACGTATTTCGTTAACGCTTGAATGATTCGAGCGATGAGAAGTGTTGATAATGAGATCAAGCCAAGATTCAGTACGTATCAGTACGTACGAGTTACCATTCATCTAAGTATTTCTATGCTTTTATTCTGACAACAGTCCACAAAAAATTAAAGATTTTCCAAATATTCCAAATGTATAATATACGGTCCTAACAAAACTCTGCGACATCAATGAGTGCCTCTCTCAATGATTTAACTTACGATTTCGCTTTATCGCGGTCGAGTTGAACCTGTTAGCTCGAGTGTTAAATTTTATATCTAGAAATAATAAAAATAACGCCTTTGAAAACAGATTTCTCGAAAAAGATTCTTAATTAATACGAGTACCTACGGTTATCACAGGAAGTAAAATTAGTTATGTAAGTAAAAATCTAAATATTATTCTTGCAAGTTGAATAACAGATACTGAGTTAATTTATATTTCGACAAAAAAACTTCAGATTTGACAGGACGTTCTTTTTGGGTAGCCCTGTATACACGGTGTTCGTAGCGTAAGGGTTAATGCTCGAGTCTCGCGGACAATCGTAATACTTTCACCGTCTTTGGCTGTAGTAAAAAGGTAAAGAAGAAGTTGTGTGGGGCGAGGTATAGATGTTGGGGCAAAGAAAAGGAGAGGCAGCCAGTTGATGCAAAGCCGACGAGACACGATCGAATCATGCTGGCCCATTGTCCCGCGGTAGATTGGCTGATTTCGTCGGGACGTTTGACGAAGCTCCACCGCTGTTGTGACCGAGATTGATTGGCAGTGATAGGGCCGATCGACAAGTACAGCCAAGACCGGCACAGAAGCTCAATAAAGGTAATTAATGGTTCGACCGGATCGAGGGGAGAAGATCATCATTCCTAACTTGCAAGGAAACACCGACCAGCCACTTTACCCTAACCAAAGTTTACGTTTGTTTATTACTTTGCAAACTTCATTCTTTTTATACGAGTTATTTGAATTAGTGAAAACGAGATAAATGACACGAAGTATTTAATCATTTGCGTTGCATTATTGCATTTGATTACCTTCACGGTAGATGGTTAAAATTCAAAATGACCACCTTGCATTTTAAGGCATTCGTCTAGTCGTCTTATCATTGATCTTATTACTCTCTAGGTACTTTCTAATGTTACTTGAAGTTATATCAAGTATATACCAATCATTTTTAAATTAGAATAACTCTCCATTATTGCTCAGAACACAATGTAATACAAAAGTCTGATACGTAATGCTGTTAGTCACAAAAGGAATTATACTGATTCATAGAGTATTATGACAGTATTCAGAAAATACTTAAATGATCATGTAAAAGACATCTATAGGAGTCGAGGGATCGAATAAAAGGAACAATGGTGATATATTTAACAAAATTAATACGTAATGTACAATGCGTATGCGGGACGTCATAAAAGAAGGTAAATTCAACATGGAGTCGATGGTAATCTAAACACGGCACGTATTTTACGTATCCACTACAATACCAAATATTATTTCTAAGCAAAGCAAAGAATAAGAAAAGAAAAAGAAGAAGCTAGAAGAATTTTTTTTTATGTACTGAATCAATTCCTAAAGTGGAACATCCTATATAATAGAGGTAGTCGTTGGGCATTAATGAAGTTTGACAGTGTAAATTAATCGATATCGTGTGAAAGTACGAATATTGGAAATGCTTAAGGGATCATAATCGTGTAGTCTGTTCTCATTAACAAGCCAGAGGAAAATTGCCCGTGCAACAGGTGCGAGATTCCACTGTAATTTCTTGGAATATCATTCGATATTAATATTCAATTAGTAAATAAAATGAAGAATTGTAATCATGTACTAATTATTATATAATTTTTGCAATATAATCTACCTTACTACCCTTGAGCACTGTTTTTTTTTAAATATTCTTTATAGTTTCTGGAAAAATAATTAATCAATTATTTCCTGCGATAGCTGTTGCCTATGTTTATGCCACAACTGAATATTTAATCAATAACCATGATCGAAT